GTAAGGAAGCCCAGCTAAGTCCAGACAAACTTCCCACCTGAGTCTGAGCTGAACACAGATAACCAATCCATAGAAATGTGGCCCAAATCAGCCACAGGCCAACTGTACATCAATTTTTAATTAAAAAGGTTTACTACTACTATTATTATTGTTAACTGAATTTCATACCACTCAACTTTTATACACTTTATTATTATTATTACTTATTCACTTTATATCCTGTTTACTGTCTCCCTCCTGGCCACCCTCTTCCACAGTCCTTCCCCCATGCTCCCTTCCCCTTCTTCTCTGAGTGGGTAGGGACCTCTGGGTATTCCCCCCACCCTGACACATCAAGTCTCCATGAGGCTGGGTGCATCCTCTCCTTTGAGGCCAGACAAGGCAGTCCAGCTGCAAGAACATATCCCATATACAGGCAACAGTTTTTTGGGTTAGTCCCTGCTCTAGTTGTTCAGAACCCACATGAAGACAGAGCTGCACATCTGCTACATATGTGCAGGAGGCCTAGGTCCAGCCTGTGAATGTTCATTGGTTGGTGGTTCAATCTCTGAGAGCCCCCAAGGGTCCAGGTTAGTTGACTCTGCTGGTCTTCCTGTGGAGTTCCTATCCCCTTAGGGGCTACAAACGAAGCCACCCATCTTCTTGTCTTGAAGCTGTGTCTCTGTGTGTCTGATAGGTGTGTTAGAAAGTCTGTTACTTACAGGGAGGCGAAAAGTTAGCGGTGTGTGTGTATGTCACCTTGGAGTGCATGGAGTTTTGTCTTCCCGTTATCTACCTGATTACATGAAACAATTCTATGAATGTTTAAAAAAAATATCTAAAAATTAAACTGGATATGGTGGTGCATACCTTTCATCCCAGCACCGGGGAGGTCTGGGCTTATGGATCTCTGGAAGTTCAAGGCCAGCCTTGTCTATATAGTGAGACTGTTCCTCACCCCTGCAAGTGGAAAAATTCTCTCAACCCCCAGAAATTAAGTTGAATGTATTGAGTCCATGGATGTAATATGACATTAGAGAGGATGAAGAAGACACCCTATCTAAAGCTTGCCTTGGCTACATAGTCATTATTCCGGCCAACATGGCAAGCATCATATTTTGCTAGAATATAAAGCAAAAAAAAAAAAAAAGTATGGGGAATATGGTTCAGAGATACAGGCCTTCCTGGGGATGTGCAAGGCCTGGGGTTGGTACACAGCAGGCATTGTTAGAGAAGGATGGGATGGGGTTGGGGCAACAGGAAGAAACAAAGATAGGCAGGTGGTGATGAATGGACCACGTGTCACTCTCTTTATGAGTCCATGGGGAACCTGAATCATATTCATTCTCTTAAATGTTATGATGCCTGGACGAACAAACACAGGGGAACTGGAACCAGTTTTCCTTCTCCCTTTTCTGTCTTTTCTCCTTAGTAACGCCTCTGCAGTCTCACACATGTTTTGTTAGTGACATTTCAGAATACCAGGTTCCGATAATTTCGCTGTCCTCGTAGCACAGGTAGAACGTTTTAGCGGCTGGGGGATGGGACAGTGCTGGAAGACTCTGTGAATAAAAAACGTAAAAAGCAGCGTTGACGACTGGCTTTTGATTTGGCAGGCCTGGTTTCAATCTCTCCACCGGCTCATTTCATTCACAGGTGAAATCGGTTCAGCATATCTGTTTTATTGGATGTTGTGAAGATTTGAGATGAGGGGTAGAGATAACCTATAAACCTTCTACTAGGGACTTAAAGCGCCTCTAAAATCTCTACTACAGCCGAGGGGAATGTGCAGTGTCGTATACCATACCTCAGAGAACGTCTGTTCTTAAGTACACCCCATCATACGACACAGCCTTTCTATTCCTGGATATTTACTTATGAGAACTGAAAACATACATTCACTGAAAGATTCCCTCATAGACGTCCCTCGTGGCTTTGTCACGTGTCCAACTCAGAAATAACGCAAGAGGCTCACGGTTAATAATGTTTAGTATTACTACAGAGAACTAAGCAGGGTCTAACCTGTGGCTGCAGTAACAGGAATGAATCTCAGTGTAATTATGCTGATGGAATGAAGCTGGTGGGGAAAAGACAGACCATATGATTTGACTTATCAAATCTGTAACTGCTAACCAGGTGCACTACAGTAGAATAGTTTTGAAGGCAGAGAGAAGAAAGCGTGCAGTAGTTTGTTGTTAAGTTCTTCTCAGAACGCAGTGAGTTATGATGAACTTGCAGCCCAGTTAAATTAAGCATTTAAAAAATTATTCATTTTTTTAAAAAAAGTGGTCGAGTTTTGAGGAGGCAGAGAGTTTAACCAGATGGCAGATTGTCAACTCCAGGGTTCTGCTCAGGTAGATGAGTATTTATCATTTTGATTTTTTTTTTGTTTTGGACGGAATGCAAAAGATTTTGTTTCAGAGTCCCCAGAGTCCTGATTTCCACACCTCGATCTGAAAGTTCTTTGGATTTAGTTGCTTGGCAATTGACAGAGAACACAGAGGTGTTAGGGAATTTCGGCATCATTAGGTGTTGGATGAGGATCTGTGGATGAGGAAGGTCTGTTTTATTTTGTAATTACATGGTTATTCCCTTTACTAACTTTTTAATGCGCTTGTAAAAACACAGTGGGTTAAATCGTAAAACATAAGATAAAATGTCCCACATTTTAGCAGCAGGAATAAATATGATAAATGATAGGTTTTCATGAAACCACAAAGAACTCGGTATGAATTAGACACTAGAAAGATGATGGGGGAAGGCCAGTGTTTTTGAAGTTAGGTTGAAATGGTTTTTCCTTGTAACGAAGAATACAGATTTTAATGTCATTCTTGCTTGGAATCTATGGCTGATCAACAGACAGAAAAATTACTGTAAGATTTGTAATGAAACAGTGCCAGGTTATTAAAAAAAGTAAACCTTGTTCCCCTGGGAAATGAGTTACCATCTAATTGGGATAAAATAAAAATGAGACACTTAATCACATGAGACACTGGTCTTTTGAACGAGGTCATTTGAAGGTATGTTGTGAACCATGATTGCCCTGCCCTAGAGTGTCTCAAACCTACTAGGTAGAATCAATTAAAATTCAAAACCTCATATCATTTTGTTTTGTATTCTCATTTGAAATTACTTTAGTTGCTCTCAATTAAAAAAAATAAATTATTGCCCTTTTTTTAAAGACTAGACTAAGTACAAGGATCAAGTTAGAATAAGTACAGAAATTCAAAATGAATGGAAAAGTGTTTAATCATAACCTTAATACATATTTTATAGTTAAAAAAACACAAATGTCTAAGGCATACTTCCCATTAAATGACAAGGTTCACAAACTCTAAATAGCAGAGTTACAGGTGTGCCGAGCTTAATAGTGGCTGACGTAACAAAACTTTTAAATAAAATTTGCAGGAACACTTTTATAAAATAGTCCTCCCAACTTAATTATCTGAAAACCTTAGATAGAAACTCTCTGGACTCAAAGGAAGAGACTTTAGATGAAATGCCCTATATTGGGGAGAAGGAACTTGTAGGGCCCATCTCCAGCAGAAAGGGCACCAAGTGAGGGAGGGGGTTGCCATCCTGCAGTCAAAACTCTGACCCATAAATGTTCCTGTCTGAAAGAACTGCAGGGATGGAAATGGAGAGGAGCCTGAGAAAAAGAAGGTCCAGCGACAGGCCAAAGTGGGATCCAGCTCACCCAGAGGTCCCAAGGCCTGTCACTATTACTGAGGCTATGGAATGCTCACAAAATGGGACCTAGCATGACTGCCCTCTGGAAGACCCAACAAGCAGCTGAAAGAGTCAGATGCAGATATTTGCACCCAACCGGTGGACAGAAGCTGCTGACACCTGTGGTTGAATTAGGGAAAAGCTGGAATGAGCTGAGGAGAAGGGTGACCCTATAGGAGAACCAGCAATCTCAATTAACCTGGACCCCTAAGATCTCTCAAACACTGGAGCACTAACCAGGCAGCATACACAAACTGATATGAGGCCCCCAACACAGATACAGCAGAGGACTGTAGGGTCTGTGTTCAATCAGAGATGATGCACCTAAACCTCAAGAGACTGGTGGCCCCAGGGAGTTTAGTGGTCAGGTGGGATGGAGGCATCCTCGTGGAGAGAGGGGGTTGGGGAGGAGGTATGGGATGTGGAACAGTCGGTGGGTGGACTGGGGAGGGGAATAAAATATGGAGTGTAAATAAATAAATAAAAAGAAAATATGGCTAAATTACTAAGCATGTTACCATAAAATCACTCGCCAAAACAAATTCCCTAGTTCTTAGTAACTACCGCAATAAGTGATAGTTTATAGCTGGTGGAAAGATTTTTGCTAATCTTTCGATGACTCGGGGCTAGGAAAACACAAAACCTTAGACCTGGAAAAATCTTAGCCAGCTTGAAAAATTAACCTAGCTAAATGAGGGGAGTCAATTATAGACAAGATCCCTGAGTAAGGACTGGGTAAGGGTTCCAGAGTCGGCATTTTCTCTCGCTGTGTCTTTTCCTATTTACTCGTTTTTCCTACTGTCCTACTCACTAGCATAAGGTTTTTGTTTTCACTCATAAGCACGTCCAAAATGTGCTGAGTCTAAGAAGGCCTTTCGTGGGAGAGCTTATGCTCACAGCTTAAACCAAGACGCAATTTGGCCAAACCTTAAGGACATGACCTTCTAGGCTCCTGCTATGAAATTTCTGTAGTCAGGATACTCATTCAGGAATGAATATGCTATCATGGTATTGTATTAAAAAAACCCTCATACCTTTGAGCCTGTCAGAATTTGTTAGTTGTAGAAATTCAATATTCCCTGAAATCGGATAGTATTTTCTTTTTTCTTTTGTGGAAAAATTTCATTTTGTGGAGTCCCAGCGATAACCGGCCAAGCGTTCCAATCCAGATTTGCCGCTAGAGGGAGACATAGTCCAGCATTTGTAGCGTTCGCTGTCGTCTTTTACTGTTTTTCTGCAGGAAGGGGGTTTGCTCTCAGCCTCTGCAGCCGCTGCTGACAGAACTGGGAGGGAGACGGAGGGAGTCAAAGCCTCCAGGTCCAGCCGTCCCATTTTACTGCTTAAGTCAGCCTGGAGTGTCAGAACCCATCTCTGCCTGCCTTCTCTGGGTTTTGTACAGTGGGGCCAGTCGCTCCCAACGGCCAGCCAGCTGAGTGGAACAGGGGTCTAGGGTGGACCAGCAGGGCTCTGCCCGTTGGGGTGACTTTCTAACATTATCTCTAGTGTATTTTAACAGTACAGAGGCTTGCGGTGGGACTCAGAGAGGGAGAAGCTTTGATTGCTTTTTTTTTTTATTTTTGGCTTCTTTTTCTTCTGGTGATCTGGATTTGTTTCCTCCGGCCCCTCCCCTTGTCCTGTTCTTTCTCACTCCCGCCTTTGGCGAAGTGACACAGGCGACACCTGCTCGCTTGTGTCTGCTGCTGGAACTCGCACCTCCACGGTGGTGAAGGTGCCGGCGCGCTCGTGACTGTGGGGACAGCAGAGGGTTCCCTCCCTTGGAGCACACGATGCACAGAGTGGCGGCGGGTGGGCTGCGAGGAGCTCGACCGGCTGCACGGGAAGGCGGGATCGAGGGGCTGCCGCTGGCGGGGAGTTGCTGCTAAGTGGACGCGACTCGACGGCGCCCAGGTGTCAGTCAGGGCACCCGCGGGACCCCAGTGCGAGCTGCGGGAACGCGGGCGTCTCACGGGGAGGACGCCGGTTGAGCGCACAGCCCCGGGCGAGCCTGCTCAGAACCGCTCCACCCCGGAGCCTGCAGACCTGGGAGAGCTGGGGAACTCGAGGAGTGCGAGGCTGCTCTGCTGAAGGTGAATCACCGCGTCCAATTGCCTTTCCCTAGAGAACCCGGGGGAGGGCGGGAGAGAGGGGGGGAAAACGTGTGAGCGCGCAAGGGAGAGACGACGCGGGGCGAGAGGAAAAAGTCCTCGCTCGCCGCTCAAAGCAAACAAATCGGAGATGGAATAAGAGCGCCGGTGGCTGGAGCCCGCCTGGATCCTCGCAGTCCCGGGAGCCGAGCGCACCGCGCGCAGCGAGCGCATCGCTGGGGACAGCGGGCGACCGCGGGCGCCGCCGGGGGCTGCGGAGACTTTAGCTCTCCCCTTCGGTCCACGAACCTTCCGATTACTTTGACAAAGAGCCGAGCCCAAGGACCGGCCTCGCGCGCTGCACCTTCCTCTTGTTTCGGGGAGGGGGGAACCCCAGCTTGTATGAAGACACTGCCGAGCCCCCTTTAGCCTTCGGAGGAGGCGGCACTCACACGCGCGCACGCAGGGCCACACTCGCTCGCCCTCCGCGAGCACACACCGGCGGACTTTGGGTCCCTATGCCCCTGGATGGTGCCAGCGGACCGGCATCTCGGAAGCGATGCAGGAGCGGTGAGGCTGGCGTCGGCCCGCGGAAGCTACAGGACCATCGCTAGGTGCTGCCGCCACCGGGACGCCCGGCTGCAGGTAAGGTGTGAGCCGCGCCTTCGGGAGCCTTCGGGCTTTGGGGACCACAGTGGCCGTGCGGGGACTGCGCGACCCCGCAGCCCTCACGGGTACGTCTCTTCCCTCGGCTACCAACTGGGCCCGGGGCAGAAACCGGCTCGTCCCAGGAGGCCGAGATGAGGGTAGATGCGGTCCCGCAGCCCGCGTCCTGTCGCCTCCCCACAACCCCCGCAGACCATGAGGACAGGGGCTGGGAAGGGGGACACCCGGAGGGGGACAGAGCCATGGCAGGAGGTTTGGAGTGGGGGTGGTGGTGGGGAACAGGGTCCATCTTATTTCAGAAGGGGAGAGACTTAGGCAAGGACCGAAATGGGGTTTAATTGGATCCCTCACCAGTCCTTGCTGGTGAGCATTTGAGACTTTTCATAAGCAGTTGGGGGTCGCAATCAAGGGAGAAATCAGGGAGGATTGATGGTGCACGGAAAGGGCTCTTGTCTGGAATGCCTACTTTCTGTCCACTTCGGACTAGTTAATTCCCAGGCCTGTCTGCAGACGGTGGGCGTTTCCACGAAGCTATTGACTCCTCCACCTCTTAACTATTTTTCCACGAAGAATCACGTTCATAAGTTCCGGAGCCTCACCCGCTTAAAGGTTTATTTAGCTCTGGGAACAGACTGGTTCTTACCGAATGAAACAGCTTTTTTTTGTAAAGGCCACTTCAAGAGAGCTTTCGTAAAGTATTGTTTAATGAACAGCGTTCAGGAAAAAAAAAGCAGCACAGTTCGGGGTGAGGGGTGGGGTACACGACTAATGGTTTGTCGTTTCTTTCCGGGGTAGATGACTTCTACATCTTGCCAGTAGCACAGATTTTTCTGCCTACCTGCTTTGCTGTCCCCTCCTCCTTCTAAAAGGCTAGGTGTCTACCAAGAGGTGTTTTCTTCAGGCGATGGATGACTCTTGGCGATTAGTCGGCGATGTCACATTTACAGGAAGTGCTTTTGCAGAGGCAAAGTTTGAGGTCTGTAGCTCTATTTCTTCTGGAGCTGCGGACTGAGCCATCCGGTCTCCTCTGGATGCGGGTCCACAGGCTCTCTAAGAGCCCCGGGGAGACCATGCCTTTCCTCCTGCTCAGTATTCCGCTGCGTGGCCAGTGTTAAACAATTGCCTGAAGCCTTGGGAATTGAATGTGTAGTTACTACAGTGACCAGCTTCTCCTCATCCTGTGCTTGGTGAGTTCATCCCCTGCCAATAAGAGAAAGGATGAACCATCCTCCTTTTGTGACTGTGAAATTTCCCCTTGAATATCAAAGTCCTCCGTGGGCTTAAAAACAAAGAAACAAAAGCTCATCTCAGTCTCCGAACCTAAGTCGCCGCCCCCCCCCCCCCAATGAAGAGCATCCCCCAAAATCACTTAGTGTCCCAGGGCCTTCTCAGGATAGGGTGAATGTCAATGACTGTGGACTGGCTGGTAATTATCTGGTTCCTGTCTGCCCAGTCAGATTGCTTTAGACACCCACCTTCCTACAGTTATCAATTAGCACCTTTAAACTGCTCTATTAGGCAAGGTAAGACAGTTGAGTAATTAATTCAAGGTTTCCATGTGAAGTAATAAAGGAGATTACTGGCAAAGAAGATTAAAACTACATGTGATGTTTTAAAGGATCAGAGCATGAGGGATATCGTATTTACTCTCTGCATGTTTGTGCATCTATGCCCAAGACTAATGAGTCCTTTACAGTCTCAAAACCGGCACCCAACATTGTACATTTTCAATAACAGATCAGACGTGTTTGTCTCTTTTTCCTAATTCATGTTGTTCTGGATCTCTCAAGTCCGATGTTTGGATCGTGACCTTTTTAGAGTCTTTATTTTTAAAAGCTATCAGTAACCACTTACAGGCCATCAGTAACCACAACAAAGCCTATTTTATTCTAATTTCCCCAATTTTCAGTGCAAACAACTGGACTGTATTATTTTCATGCTTACAATTCTGAGAAAGACTGTTACTGCTAACAGTACTTAAGCATGGGCAGCCTTGTAAGAGGCAGACACAGTTTTAGCATTGCTTTATTCAAAATGGCATTCAAAAGACTGATCAAAGTCTTGGTTATTTTTCTTGCCTTTAAAAACAGTGGGTTACTATGCTTCACTTCTCATTTACAGGCAGTGCTATTTGACGTATGTTTCTTAAAGAGGAATCAGGAAACCTTTGTGTCAAAGCAAAAACCTACATAGTGCTCTAAGTTGTGTGTGAGGGTTCTGAGTATGTGTGTATACATGTGTGATTCTGAATCAGAGGAACGTTAGTTACTTGAACAGTGACAAACCGGAGAGAAAAGACATTGTGGACTTGAGTCGACGTGGATACACTCTTCGTAGACACTACATTATCTGCATTATAGTATTTACTAACCACCAAGTTATAAAATGTGACAACACAGCTGTAGAGAAAGGTCTATTTCTAGACATAGCCACTTTCCCCCTTTTAAAAATTTATAAAGTGCTGAAACTTTTGGGGTGATGTAACATTTTAGAGAAACTGTTTCATGTCTCATCAGAAAGATTTGGTAGTCCTGGATTTAGTGTCTATAACACAGTATCTTGATGGCTGTATTAAATGGAGTTTTCATATGGAAATGCACAAAGTACGTCTTAAGGTTGATTCAGTGACAAGGTGAGTTTTTGGATCACCCTGGCCAGGATGGGTGATCTGTGACTCTCCAGCATTTACCTGGCACTTCTTATCATGGCCCTAAAAAAACTGGTTCTGTTTGAGCATGTTTGAGTTCAGCAATTGCAAACTGATTGAAATGTACTAGTAAGATTTATAATAACGTCCCGAAGGAGGGGCTTTCCGAAATGTTGTTGGTTACTTGTGCTGTATTTGAAAAGCCGAAGTAATCACAGCGCCTCTACTGTTCATTTCGTGGTACTTCATTAGAGAGGCCTCATTAGGTAGCTTATTCTGCAGCTGTTTTCTTCACTGAAAATTCAAGTAGACACAAGGAACTTTACCACGTCATGCAGTTTTGTTTCCTTTGGCGAAAAACTATACAGTGCGGTAAAATAAACATCCAGGGTAGTCCGCCTCCATCTATGCTCTGGGCATATTTACAAATGCAATCCATCAATCTGTTCCTAACAGGACTCCATCAAAACAGAGAGAAGAAATTCATTAATACCAACTGCTGCTGGTTATGAAGGCCAAGGCAGCTGAATCAACGTCATTTCTGGGCCGCTGGCTGGCACAGTGTTTCACAGGATGCGGCTTACTTCTTAGTCACTGGTTTTGTGATGACTCAGGATAGGACTCAGAATTTGCCATTTTGTTGGGAAATTCTTTGGAACGCTATCTGAACATATTAAGCTATTTGAACATTTCATTGATAAAGAGAAGATGGGCTTACCAGTTACCAGCAATCTCCTTATGGAGTTTGGAGTGTGGTCTGAAATGGGTTATAGACAGCCAGGATTTAGCAAACACTCCTAGAAGTTTGCTTCTGTTTTTCAGTTGTCACAGGATCCTGACACGCTACATAGTTTTCTGAAGGTTTGACTATATCCATTCAGAGTCGTGTTTCAGTTCTCCTCACAAAGTAAAACTGCTCAGTTCTGTCTTCTGCTTCTGTTTCTTATAAAACATTTAAGAGAAATGACTATGCTTATTAGAATATGAAGAAAGAATTTAAATATATTTCTTGTGCTTTATGTTTCTATACAATCTCTATATACCTATATATGCAAATGTTTTCATGAAATGCAGGTAATATATTGATTTTGTGTTAAAGGAGGCAAGACAACTTTATTAAAGGTCTTTATTTTTCGATATCTAGGTTTCCACTAATTTATATGACTTGACCTATAGCACAATTGCATTTATAGTTTAACAAGATAATTTATAGTTGAGTTTCACACTTTGACCCATTGTTACACATAACACATATGTTCTTTTTGTTTTTTTGAGATACTTTTGTTGACTAAATTACAAACTCAGAACATAAAAGTCAGTTTTTCACTGTGTGTAGGGACATCTTCCTTAGCATTGGTTGACAGCCACAGTGAGAATTCCAACACATTTTAGAGCATAGGACACATCTGCACATTACTTTATTAAGCATATTTCTCCACAGTCCCATGGCAAGTCTTTCTAGTCACATAGAAGCATATTGTTGTGATTTATAGACGGTAGTTACAAATCAGCTACGCTGATATCATGCTGTCAGCTTGTGTTCCGTTTCTAAAATTCACCCATTCTCAATGTGTATATCACGTGCGTTTGTTGGATCTCCTTGAATAGCCTGCAACAGGCCATTCCCTGACTCAGTGTCAGTTCGGCAATTGATTGGCATTGGCATCAGAAGAGACAGACCTTAGTGTGCTGAAAAATCAGATGAACAGTGGAGACGCACGCTCGAAGGACAGCCTTCTGGTTTGTTCACCATGAACCCTATGAAGCAAGGAATCAGAGTATCCTTGCCTATATTATCTCACTTCTTCCAGTCTCCTAAATTACTCCACAGCAGCCGTAATTGCTTTATGACTCCCCCCGAATGGCCAGTTTAGCAAAGGTACATTTCCCATTCCCCTAGCAAAAGCACATGTAGTCATTCAATTAAAATTGTATCTGTATTTCTTTCTCTATGCAGTAGATTATGGAAACTCCTTACCGAGAGACTCAATAATGCAACAATGTTGCATTCTAGCAATGGCTATGACGGCAAAGTCTGCACTTGGTAAAATGGCGACCACCAACCAGACATGCTGGTTCTTAACCCATAGGCTTCACAGAATAAAACCATACATGTGAAACAGAGAGTTCGAAGTAGCTTTTGATGACAAAGCTTGTTTCACTAAATATTTTCACATTTATGTATTTTCCTCCCTATGAACTAGTCAGTGTATAATTGCTTGCACTTGGGAAGGCAACTGCATTGCCCTTTAAGGGCCATGCAAAGATTCCAAACCTTCTGGTTTGCAGTATCAGTTGCCTATGGCTTCCCATTGCTGCACAGGGAGTTTAT